CATTTCTTATTATATAATTAAAAGATAAAACTTATTATAATAGATTACATATTTATATAATTAATTTAAAAAAAAAATTTTTTTAAAATATTAATTATTCATAAAAGTAAATCAGAAGAGAATTTATAGTAAATAAGCAGGCAAATTTGCCTGCGAAACCCTACAATCTAAGGGATAGAAATTAAATAAATTGAATCAATAAATTAATCATACTAATTTAACATTGATTAATCCTAGGTTTGACACTACTTAATCTGAGGTTTAATATTAATTAATTTTTATAGAACTTTATTAAATAATTATAATTGATTTACTATATAATTGAAATTGCAGCTAAAAATTTGGCTGAAATAATTATCCGGAATTAAGTTATTGTTGAATATTTAAATTATTAATTTATACTTTCTTATTTTACAATGCAATTCCTTTAATAGTAAAGCAAGAAAGAAAATTCGCTATATCCCTTAATTTAATATAAAAATTCGTTATATAAAAAAATTTCGTTAACAAAAGTTTATACTTGGTTCAATTCGTTATACATATTATAAAATTCGTTATATTCAATCATTATAATTAATAAAATTCGGGACCACTCATGTAATTCACTATAACAAAAATTTCAGAATATAGAAATTCATTATAAAGAGATTCAACTGTAGATATATTTTGCAAAAAATATATAATTAATGACAAAAGATTACCTTATCACAAGTATGTATTCAGGCTTTTGTAAAAAAAAAATATATAATATAAATAATAATAGTAATGCCTTTTTCAAAGTCATTGTTCTTTTTAATTAAGTAATTAAATGGATTTGTTGTATTTTAATTAATTATAGCAATATTTAAATTAATTTCAGCTTGTTGTCTATTCTATCTGAGCATAAATATACTCCATGTAATTTTCAAATATTAAGAACTTGAAACATCAATTGAATTATTTTTCTTAAAGATGGTTTCTCTGATTCTTTTACAGGTAGATTAATAAAAATTTGTCTTAATATATATTGAATTTCATTTGCTTTTATAAAATTCAAATGTGAATTACTTATGTTATTTTCACTCCCGCTTTCCTTAGCATCATTTTCATCATCATTTTTATAAATTAGGATATATATTATAAAAATTATGATTTAGGATTATATCAAAAGGTATCAGAATTACCTATTTTGTTTTAACGCGGGTATTGAGCTTGTTGGTTCAAAAGAACAATGAGGTTAGGTCAATTGAGAAATTATTACTGAAACCTATGAAATAAATTTTTGTTCTAATCGGAAAATCAATAATTTGTATTATTTTACGTTAGTGTTAAATGAAAAGTAATTATCAAAATGCAATGTTGATAGTGCAGAGCCGAAATCAAATTTTCAAAAAATAAAATTAGACAACTAAAATGTTTCGAGTTAAGTCTTTTTTTTTTTTATTTTATTTTTATTTTATTTTATTTTTTTTATAAAAAAATTTTGATTCAAGAGCGCAGTTTATTATTTATACTATAATTAGAAACTCGCGTGGCGCTGCTTCCCGTAAAATAAGTATTAAATTTATTAACTATCGATATACTTTTGTCAATTCCATTTTATATACTTTTTTTTTTTTTTTTTTTTTTTTCCAAATAAACGTATAAGCAATTTCGCTAGGCAAATTAATCTTATCGTTTAAAAAAGTTTTTAATTATTAATTTATTCGATTTCAAATGCCAAAATTTTTTTCGATGAGAAAGGGAGGAAGGAGAAAGGAATATTTTAAGAAGATAAAATTGAGTTTTTTTTTTAAGATTAGAGAAAATAAAATACATGCAAGTAATTTTTAGAACTGAAATATATACAAATGACAAAAAAAAGGGGGGGGGGGGAAAATAAAGTACAGAAGAAAAGAGAAACAAGGAAGAAAAGGAACCAGAAGAAAAGCACATGACACAATCTATTTCTACCAAATTTTTACATTAATTCAGATAAGTCACGGAAATTCAAAACTCGAAATTAAAGAAAATTAGGAAATTAAAAAAAAAATTTCAGTCATATTGGTACCAAACCATCATAACTTGGACTACCAAAACCACGACCACCGTGTTTCACTTCACCAAGAAAATCGACCACTGTATCAAAAATTGTCGTTAAATAACTCCAATAATTCGGTTCTACACCAAATGTGCCGTGTACAATTGCTTCGTAAGGTTCAAAATGATATTTCTTATATTTGATACTAAAGTTGCAAATGAAGGTGAAAAGAAGAATTAAAGATCGATAAGCTTTTTTTTTAAAAAAAAAATAAATAATAAAATGAAGAAAAACTTACTTCAAAATGAGCCCGATTATTGATAATTCAAAAATTAGAATTATGATTAAGAGAAAAACACAATTAATTCTACAATATACCTTTTCATAAGATTGGTATATTGATTGAAGAGGCTGTATAATCATTTCAAAAAAGGACAAAAATTTATTCCATATAATTGAAAAAAAAATTGCTGGTAACGTTTTGAATGTGGTGGTGGTTTCTTCTGCCTGCTGTTGCTGATGGTGTTGTGGTGTAAGATCTTGCTTCGCCTATATTTACAATAAAAATTATTATTAATAATTTTTTTTTTAAAAAAAAAAAGAGAGGAAATTTAAAAAAATTAAATAAATAAATAAATTAATTTACCTTTGCGTTGTTGCTAAGTGATTTTGTCTTTGTCTTTTCCATCAATTTATAAATATTATCGCGAATTTTCGAAGAATCCCGATCTATATCGTCAGCTACTCGAGCTTTTGATCCAAATTGTACCAAAAGTTTTTTCAATTCTTTCTATTTTATCAAAAAAAAAAAAAAAAAAAAAAACTTGATAAATTATAAAGGAAACCAAATTAAGAAAAATCAAGTATGTGGTGAGAAAAGGCCAAGGAATTTTTACCTCTGAACGTTCGAATTCGGCCTTTTGTTTTTCACGTTCCAAATCAGGTTTTTTCTTATGGTGAGAACGGTTACTTTTTTTTGGTCTTTCCGGATCAAAAGATGACAGCTAATCGAGGAAACGAAAAAAAAAGGAATTTGAAATCGATTAGGAATCGGAAATTTGAAGGATGAAAATAATTTCAGGTTTATTTAAAAAAATCATGTATTATGTTGGCAAACATAACAAAGAATATACCTTTTCCATCTTTTGTTCCTTGAAGTTATTTGTTTTCGAATGGAATTTATCTCTGTTTGATTTTTCCATTGTAATTTTTTGAGCTAGTATTATTAATGATCTATTAGGTTTCCCTTTGATGAAAATATATAATTGTTTTATCGAAAATGTTTAAGGTAAAGCAATTTATCCGACGACTTTTTTACTTTTTTTTAAAAAAAAAAATTCTAGAAGAAAACTTGTATTATAAATTTAATAATATATATATATATATTTTCGAAGTTTGTTTATATAAAATTTCTAAATTATTAGATATAATTTTTATTGTTGTAATATAATACAAAAGAAACGATTATTAGTCTGTCAAGTGGTCAGTCGGTGTTTATAAAATACAAACTGTCAGTTTTTGTTAATTGTCAAAAAAAAAAAAAAAAAAAAAGAGAATTTAAATAAATAAATATTTATTTTTTTTTTTTATTTTTGTTGATGAGCGGGGGTGGTTTTGTGGAGTTTTTATAATTGTGACTCAAATTTTGCAACTTTAAATTTTTTTCGTTAATAAAAAAAAAAGCAAAAAACCGCCTTCTGGATGTTAAACTAGTTTTTTTTTTTCTTTGTCGTACGGAATAAAATTCACAATATTCACAATATAAACGAACTGAACTTTAATGAGATACAAGTGATAAACTTAATAAAAGATAAATAATATAGAATATTGTCTTAAAGTGATACAGAATTTAGTTGTGATCACATCAATAGTGATACATTTCATTTACTGTGTTTTTCAAAAATGTGGTAAAATAAAATGGGGAATTCCGAAAATACTCTTTTTTTTTTTAAAAAAAAAAAATCAAAGGTAACACTTGTGAACAATAAGGAAAACTTTTATTCAGAAAAAAAACACGAGACCTACTTGATTCCGAAATGTGGTAACACATGATTTCGTTTTTCAAAAGGTTACAATATGATACTCTTCAATACTTTCGGCACTGACTATTTTATCATCGTAGTGCATATTTAAAGAAGAGAGAAGAGCGGAAACCTTCACGTGTGAGGAAAGAAAGGAAAGAAAGATAACCACAACAAAAAAGAAATCACCTTGATCACAAATGTTGTTCTTTTGTCTGTAAATCTGTTGAAACCACACATTAACCAAAAGGATTTTTTTGGGCGCGGGCAACGTCCATTATTAGATTTTCCGATTGAAGATAAAAAGATGATATCGTGTCAAACATATTGTATAATATAAACGCCCTTCCCTTCTTTAAAAGTTCGTTGTTCAGCTATGTACAATTGCTCTTTGTTTGTTAGTTAATGGTATGTGTTAATGATTTATAAAATAAGTGATGAAAAGGGGGAAGAAACGAGAATTCAATACTAAACTTTCAGGAATTTTAACCTGAGGATTAAACGATGACGAACTTTTGCATAATTAATATAATTAAACCTAAAAGTTTTAATGTAACTATATCAGTTCACCACTTGTTTTATTCCGAAAAAACTTTTTTTTATACAGTATTATTTACATGGTTTATGGTAAAATAGATAATTTTGGTTTATGCTATCAGCTGTTACTAGAATCACTTTTTGTGGGGAAAAAAGATCATTTTGAAATAAGTAGTCCCAGAATGATTATGTTACAATTTTTTGACAGAAATTTTTTTTTTATTCATTCTAGGTAAAGATTCTCGGAATATTATGGAAATTTTAACGGAGGCACAACGTTGCACGGTCTTTTCCAATCAATTTGTGTACTGTAAATTTAGTTTAGATTATCAATGACAACTATCTAATTTTGATTTTTTTTTTCACAAAGAACATCTTTTATAAAAAAAGAAAAAAGAATGCAACTTGGAATCAACTATCTTTTTTTTTTTTTTTTTGAATTGCTAAAAATAAATCGATTCTTGAATAAAAATTTTTAATTAAACTCTATTTTGAAGAAGATTTGTTCAGTTTTTTGCAAAAAAAAAAAAACTCGTTTTTTCGTGATCAACCGGGATTGAATTTGGTTTAAATTGGTAATCCTAGCCAAGTAGGTCTTATTCCAGTTCATTACAAGTTATCCTCCTAATAATATCACGTGTGGAAGTCCGTCCACACACAGAAAATCATCAAAGCGGAACTGTACATAAGAAAACAAAAACTGGTTGTATTTCTTGTTTTGAGCATTTCGCTTACTCGCTTACATCTTTTAAATTGGAAATTGAAACCTGAATTGGTATTGTTATATTAAATAATCTAATCCCAAAATATTATATATGTGACCACGTGATTCAAAATTTCCGTTCCTCCGTTAAGATATTGTACATTAGGGAAGATGCCGAGAAGAAAAAAAATCACATCATTTATAGTAAATTTCGAAAAACCTTATTTATAAGAACAATTGATATATTTGTAAGCTCACGTTTTAATGAAATTTATTTCCCGTATATTATACATTATTATCATTTACTAAAAAAAGGAAAAAAAAAATAAACAAACCGATCTTTTTATCATCCACAAAAAAAAAATCATCCGTTTTAATTGTATGCAAGGATCCCGCCAAAAATAAATAATAAAAAATTTTTTTAATTCATCCTTTTTTTGAATTCTTATTTACCCAAACTTTAACTCTCGTTAACATCTCGATAAAAAAAATGTAATTAATTAATCTATTTATGGTTAATAATATAAATTATCCCTCTATTTTTTTTTTTGTTTTTTGTTTGATAAATTACTTGATTTCGTAAATACGTCAATTCTCAATGAGTTGGTCAATGCGTCTGTCAATGCTTGATGATGATTAACAGTTTGGATAGATAGAAAAAGGAAACCAAGAACGCGTCTGGTATTTTAATATAAAAAAGTGGCGAATTTAAAGTTTAATAAACCTATTAATTTATTTCAACCTTCTCATGTATTTTATGCGTTATTTTTTCACCGGAATAAGTTTAAAATTTTTTAATTTGTAGAAAAAAACCAACACTAATCTAAGAACTTCATTTACAATATTAATTAATGATTATAAAATTTATTTTTACATTTTTTTTTAAAAAAAGCAAAAAAAGAAATATTTGCTTATAAAATTTAAATCAATCATAACCGCTAATTCTTTTTTAGCTGTAATGAAAAATTGTTAATGTAACAAGATATTCTCGTTTGTTATTTGGATGAACTAGTTGGATAACAAATATCCTATGGTTTCAATAAACATAAACATTATACATAAACATTATGGTTAGAAAAATCAAAGATTAATTACCGAAATTAAATAATAATACTTACATCCGTTTCTATTTTGGAACAATAAATTTCGGGACATCCTGTTGCACTTTTACCATTGCCACATTGAAACTACATTTGTTTAATATTTTTTTTTTTAGAATTACTTTAAAAAAGGCCAAAATATATGATTAAAAATCATGAAATGATTTCGTACCTCTCCGGGTTTGCAATTGGGAACAAGATTTAAACAATGATTATCTCCGCCAAATTTTGATCCCGAATTTCCAACCCCCTGCATGATGCCTACAATTAACACAACTATAAAAAAAATTTTTTTGTTAGGTTAGTAAGTAAAAAGAAAAAGAAAAAAATGCATTTTTTTTCAGGTAATTAATTAATTACTCACTAACGATAAAAGTGAAATATAATAACCAAAATAAAGCAAACCAAAATTTCAAAGTAGGTTTCCCTTGATAAAAAAATTCCATTCTCCATAATTGTTCTAAAGAAGTGACACCCGTAAATTTTCTTTCTTCAGGTGGTATATTATGATCAACTCCACTAAATGGAGTTGTCTTTCCTTGAGGTGCCTGAGGTGCCTGAGGTGCTTGAGGTGCTTGAGGTGCTTGAGGCGTTTGAGGTGCTTGAGGTACTGAAGCGGTTAAATATTCAGAAGGAATTGGTGGAAGTCGTCGTTGCATGTCAATAACTTGTTGAGGTTGTTGTTGATGGTATATTGGTTCAGCATTGTAAGGTTCTGAAGTTACTATATATTGGTTTGTAGAAGATTCTCGATTATTAAAAATTGGAGATTCTTGATGATAATATTGACCAGGATTAAATTGTTGATTATTATTATTATCCATTAATAAATTTTTTCTTTTTAATAAGAAAATAAAAAAAATCTTTTTTAAATAAAAATATTATAAACTGAAATGAAAAAAAAATTAAAAAATTAAGAATCATTTTTTGACTGCAATGTTGTTTTAATGATCACATGATATACATTATTTAATGTGGGCGCCCAACTTTTGCAACTTTTAAAAATAAAGTTTGTACGTTAGTTACATAAGCACAAAATTAGAATTATGTTCTATAAAAAAAATTGATTCTATGGATCTATAAAAATACAAGATTGAAACACAAAGATAAAATAAGAAGTTAGTTCATATGACCCTTCATATTCACTATTAAAAAAAAGAGAGATTAATACGCTTTTTTTTTTCTTTTTTTTTTAGCAAAAAAATAATAATGATGTTGAAAAGTTACCAATAATAGCAACCCAAAGAATAATGCAAATAAATATAAACATGAAATACCAAAATTTCCAAGTTGGTTTACCATCATGAGTTAAAGGCAAATCCCAAATTTGCTCCAGACTAGTAAGTTGTGTAAAAGTCCTATTGATTGATGGAATCGAATAATCAACTTGTCCTGGTATATCCCCCTTTTCCGTAACTACAATGGCATTTAAGGGTGGTTGCGACGCTTCTTGAACAATGATAAAATTTGGTGAATTAATGCTATTTTCCGTATGGATATATTGATTATGTTCGTGAGGATTTGAAACAAATTGTTGATTTGTTTGTTGAGGATTAAATTGTTGGAGATTAATCTGTTGAGGGTTGACTTTTTGAGGAATATTCTGTTGAGGGTTAACTTGTTGATGAATTATAATCTGTTGAGGGTTGATTTGCTGAGGATTGTTCTGTTGAGGGCTACTTTGTTGTGGATTAATCTGTTTAGGGCTAATTTGTTGTGAATTAATCTGAAGATTAGGATCAATTATTTGTTGATTAGGTTGCTTAAAATTAATTTGTTGAGGATTTATTTGTGGATTGGTTTGATTGAAATGTTGATTTTGTTGAGCAACTTGTGGTGGAATCACCGAGGATGCGTTATATCTTGGTGATTGACTTTCAAGAGGAACATTTCTGGAAGGATAATTATAATTATCATTATTAATACGCAGTCGATTTGTTTGAAATATTTGATGTTCGGTAGATAAAGAAGTTGGTCTTCCATTCCGAGAATACGAGTTTTGAAGAGGAATTTGTTGGTGAAATGATTGTGGTGAAGGACCATTGTGTTGTTGAGGAATATTACCGCCATGACCATCCTTAGGAACGTAACCGTAATTCATCTTGCCAATTAAGAATTAACTTTTTTTATCTTCTGTATTAATTATATTAATTATTCAAACCAGCAATGTTTATCATGTTAATGAAAATAGTTGCAGAAACAAATTCTTTACAAAATAAAATAACCAAAAGCTTGAATTCATCGAATTTATACATATGTCAAACGTAATTCATTCTGGGTAATACATAAACCTATCGAACCGTTACCCCTTGTTTCAACTATTTAATGTTGCCAACAAAGAGATCATCCCTTTTTGTTAACCAAATAGAGAGATGTATATATTTTTTTTACCAATTTGGATTCACGATTATTGGTAAAGCGTAACGTAGACAATGACTTTGTTAGTGTTATTTTTAGATGTTTCAAAAATATTATTAACATTCTTCAGATATATAATGAATTATAATGAATTATATCAAAATTAATATCTAAAAGAAGAAAACTTAATAAAAAAGGTAACTCCCATTCTGGGGTTTGATTCAAGACACTCTCCCGTTGCCTCTATTTTATTTTGTTGGTAAAGTTTGCTAATTTTGGAGGAGAAAGCAAGCTATGTTCCTTGCTTTATTACTAAATGAAAAAATTTGATGCATTATTTAAATTTCTTATAATAAGTATATTCAGAACGTCAACGTTTTTATAAAATATATTAGAAAGATGTTATTAAAGAATGTGAATTAGTAAGTAAACTTTGTATATAATTTAGAGTTAAATCATAGATTCAATAATTCTAATACTATGATATTTTTATTTTATTTTTATTTTTTTTAGAGAAAAGGACCTTTTCATACTGTATTACTTTTATTTAATTTAATTCTAACCGAAATTTAATTTTCGGGCAGAATTAAGATCTTTGTGATTAAAAAATTTCGCTAGCTTCGCCCAAATTTATAATGCCGGCCTGAGTTAAAATAAACTGGTTAAGACAGTTGATATTAATTATCATATTATAGTATGTTAATAATATTATTTTGATATAAGATAGATTCTTAGAATTTTTAAAAATTATCAGCCTTTAACATTATCTAGTAACAAACAAACTATTAAATTCTAATAAAACTGTAACCGAAACACTTTAATCATAATAATAGTAAAAGGAAAAAATATCTTAAAATAAGTAAGATATAAAGTTTAAAAAAATATAAAAAGTGTTAATTTTTAAAAATATAAAAAGTATTTGCTGGTGATTCTTTAATAATTATATTAAAAAATCATCAGCAACTTAGATTAAATTATTACAGTAACATTATAATTTATTGATAATTTCATAATCTACTAATAATATTATAATCAATAACTTTATAATTTATCAGTATTATAATTATTATAATTAGTATCAACTTTATATTCTGACTTTATAATCTTCAAGTTAAGCAATTAATTAAGCTAAATTTAAGCTAAAGTTAAGCAAAACTCGAATTCAAAATCAAGTTAAACTCAAGTAAAAATTTATTAATTTTTACAGAAAGTATAAATAAGTAGAATAATATATATCATTTAAAGAAATGATAAAAGAATTATTCTGATAAATAATAAAATATTGTTCAAAGAATAATAAATTAATTATTCAATAAAATGATAAAAGATTGTTCTATATTAACAATAAACAATCATTCTAAATAAATGATAAAATAATCGTTATAATAAAATAATAATAAAAATTGTTTTAAAATATGATAAAAAATCATTTCTTTAGAATAATAATTGATTATTCTATTAGAACATTTTCTTATTATTTCTTTAGAATAATTCTTTTATCATTTCATTAAAATGATATATTATTATTCTAAGAATGATTATTTTATTATAATCTTTTACCATTTTATCAAAATAATTCTTATATCATTTTTTTAAAACAATGATTAATTGTTTTATTAAAATAATTTTCTTTTACCATTTTTTTAGAATAGTAATTGATTGTTCTATCAGAATAATTCTTCTATTATTTCTTTAGAATAATATTTAATTATTTTATTGAATTATTTTTTATTATATATATATTTACTAAATATAATTTTAAGTCAAATTAAATCAAGGTTTAAAATTTTTTATTTTAATTTGATTATAACTTACTTGACTTAATATTTAAAATTTTAAATATTATATTTCTCATTAAATATAATAATAACTCATATAAATTAGCAAGTATTTTTTTTTTAGAAATGCCTTCTTGCTTTGATATATTATTATTTAATTTGCATTACTATTAATACTAAGCTTTTTCTGATTTATTATAATATTTTTCTTTTTATATAAAGCAATTCATAAAATTATGCTAATATTTTAAAATCATTACTATTATTATTAGCTATAATTATAATATATATAAAAAAATTTTAAGTTTAAAATAATAATCATCAACTTAAAATAAAAATTATTGAATAAAAAATATTATATAAAGTTCTGCATAATAATATAAAAGTTGATTATGAATAATATTTATATGATATTTAATTTTTACATATATATTTGAAAAAAAAGATATTTAACTTTTATTTTTTATTTTTTTTTAAACAAATGTGAGAAAAATATAAAGAAGTATTGGATTATAATACAGAAAATATTTTTAAGTAAATAATAATTATATATTATAAAATTATAAAAATTCACAATTTTAAGATCATTAAATATTAGTCTAATTTTAAATCTTTTAAGATAGATTTTGCATATAAAAGCACTAATCAAAAATTTTTTTTTTAACACTAATACTATTTGGTAAATATTCAAATGATTCTGTCATGTGATTCAGTAAAAGTTTAACTTAAATTACAAAAATCAATAGTCATTTATTACACTATACATAATTTAGCATTATTTCAGCATTATAATTTTTTAGCAAATATTTAGCTAATTTAGTTATACTATTTGGCAAAAATTTAGTTCAAGTTATAAAAATTAATATTTATTTATAACATCATACATAATTTAATATTATTTTAGTACTAAGATCTTTCAGCAAATATTTAGCCAATTCAGTTATATAATTCAACAAAATTTCAACTTAAATAATAAAAATTGATAATAATTTATTATATTATATATAATTTAGCATTTATTTTGATACTAAGTTCTTTCAATTATAATTTTTAGCAAATTTCAATCAGACTCAAAATTTGACAACAAATCAACTATATCTCAATAATCGAAATTAGTTAAGTTAATTTTTGCAAAAATTATAATATTATAATTAAACAAGAACAATTATCCTGAAAGAAATAATACAATTGTTCTTAAAAAGATAATAGAATCATTTAAAAAGGAAATAAATAAAATTGTTCCTAAAGGAATAATAGAAATTGTTCTAAAAGAAATCATACAATTATTCCAAAAATACGATAAAAATCATCTGAAAGGAATAATACAATTGTCTCTAAAGAAATGATAGAAATTATTTCTAAAAAAATGAATAATCATCTTAAAAGATACAATAGAAATTATCCCAAAAGGAATGATAAAAATCATCCTTAAAAAATGATATATTATCATTTTGTAAGAATAATATTTTTCATTATTCTTTTAGAATATACATCATTATTTCTTAGAATGATTTTTATATCATTTTTTTGGATTGATATTATTATTATTTTAAAAAGAACGATTATTTTTCATTATTCTTAAGAAACAATTCATTATCATTTTAAAAGAATAATATTTTTTATTATTCTATTAAAATTATATATAATCTTCTAAAAAAATGATATTTTACATCATTTTATTAGAACGATAGATACATAATCAATCATTCTTTTAAAATGATTTTGTTATTATTCTTAAGAAATGATTAAATTATCATTCTAAAAAATAATTTTGTTATCATTCTATTAGAATAATTTTATTATCTTTCTTAAGAAATAATACATTATTGTTTTAAAAGAATAATTTTGTTATTGTTCTTAAAGAATGATTAAATTATCATTTCTTTTAAACAATTTTCTATATTATTCTTAAGAAACAATTAAAATATAAGAAACAATTAAATTATCATCCTTTTAAAAGGTTTTGTAATTTTCTAATCGGATGATATAAAATCTTCCATTTAGAATATTTATGATAAATCAAATCATTCTTAAATAATAAATAATATTTAAATTTCAGTTAATCAAAAATTTAGTTTAGTTTATAATATAAAACTGATAAACTTTCAAAATATTCTGAATAAAATTTTTTCTTCTTTTTTTTTTAGTGGAGTAATTTTGAGTAGAATTTAACTTTTTTTTTTTTTTCCTTTTTTTAGGAAATTCTTATTTTAGAAAATTAAAGTAAGCAAATCAGAAGTAAATTTTATATAGTTTTTAATTCTATTTTCATTATTTATCTTTGTTTTTTTTAAGAATATTCTTTTTTTGAAATCAAGATAAGCCTTCAAAGGTGTTTTTTTAATGGTTTTTAACTGTTTTTTTATTTTTTATTTATTTTCTTTAGAAATACATTAAAAATAAACCTTTTAGGTAGTATTTTAATGGTTTTTAACTGTTTTCTTTATTGTGATTTTTTAGTGATTTTTTAACTGTTTTCTTTATTTTTTATTTACTTTTTTTTAAAAATACATTAAGATAAATCTTTTGAAGATGATGTTTTGATAGTTTTTTTTAGCTGTTTTCTTTATTTTTCTTATATTTAAAAAATTAAATGTATCTTTTTTGAATAAAATTTAATAAAATAAATTATAAATAATAAATAAACAAAATAAGTTTTATTATTTTTGATTTTATAAATAGTTGTTTAATTGATTTTAGCTATTTTTAAGCTAATTGTTGACTAATTTTAAGCTGATTTATGCTGAATTTTGAATAAATTTTAACATTAATGCTGATTGATAGCTAATTTTCTATTTATTCAAAATGCTGATTTTTTGGCAATGATCAGTAGAATTAGATTATATTTTGGTTAACTTTCAGCACTTTAAAATGTGATGAATTGTATTATTTTACCTAATAATATATCAAATAACTACTAATCATTAAATAATGATTTTTTATTGAGTGACAATTATATTAGACA